ACGCATCTGTGGATTTTTTGAAACACTTCTAACCACACGGACACTGGTATTTTTATAACCGTGACTTTTTTACACGGTTCAGTCGCTCGTCAACACGGAAACGCAGTATCAGGACCCTGAAACCGAACATTTTTTTGGAATCCCCTGCCAGGGTGAGGATTTTCAGAAACACTGTTGTTATAGTGTTGCCGTGTACACAGTAAAACCGGAGGTTTTGCTTGCGACGTCAGAGTGTGCGTTATCCGCCTACCGAAACCTGTAATAACTTTTTGTTAGGCTTCTGATTGGCCAATGTGGCTTTACGGTTAGGCTTATATAGTCGCCTGCAGGTGTGGTATGCTTGATAGCATGTTTTTGCGTTTTCATCTGGACAAGATTTTTGTTTTTAAACGCAGGAGGAAAAAAGGTTATAAAAATACCCATGTCCGTGTGGACAAGGCCCTGGTGTCGACGTGCAGACAAATCCACAAATAAGTGGACTCCACCCACCGTTTCCTCAAGCCAATCAGATTGAGCTGACCAATCATAGAACGTTCTCGCTACAAACAATCACTTTAGGCTTTACAATCAGGGTGGTCATGCCTTGAAATAATTTTGCTCATTCATCTGCATTGGCTCAAATAGGAAGTGTAACGTTAAGACCCATAATATTGCCTCAGTAAAATATGTTTAAAATTTGGATTAGACCATTAGACTGTGTATCAAGCCAAGACACATTTTTATCAGCCTTTGAAAATGCAAGAGAAATAGCGTGTACATCTCTGTTATGGGAACAACGCGTTATGGAAGTGTCACGTTATTCATGATAAAACAGAAAAGCATCAATAAGTTGCTGACTTATGAATAACTGGATTCAATCTTGTGATAAATGCGAGTTTGTAGAATATAGATGAAATTACTGTCCCAACAGCTTTTCTCACTTCTTCAGTCAAGTTTAAATATGCAGCAGGTCGTGGATCTAATGATCCATTGTGCATTAAACTTATCATGCATTTAAAAGTAAAATACCCAGACAAGCTATTTGCATTTATTTATCCGTGAAAACACAATCATTAGAGCACAATCATTCAGAATTAATAGCATTTTATTGTAAAAGTTACTTACAGCATCCACAATAAATACAAAGACGTGTTTTTTCATGATCCACTCAAAACCCCACATGCTGTTACTGTACATCTTCAATGATGGTCATTTGAGCTGATATTTGGTATTCTACATAATATTTATGTCTTATAACTAGCTATTTGTCACCATGATTGTGCTTTAAAAGACAAAATCATATAATGGGTTTATAATGGGTTTATAATGGGCTATGGAAATATAAAGAAGCCTTAAACTCCAACAATCTTTTGGAAACAGGGTGTTTTCACCAGCTCAGTGTAAAGCCTAACGTGATTGGTTGTAGCGAGAGTGTGCTATGATTGGTCAGCTCAATGTGGGCGTTGTCTGATTGACTTGATGAAACGGTGGGTGGAGTCCACTTATTTGTGGATTTGTCTGCAAGTCGACGCTAGAAGTGTTTCAAAATCCACAGATGCATGAGAGGATTTACAAATGCACAAGAAGCAATTTACAAAAGCGTGCAGTGATTTTCAAATGAACAGAAAGTACAAATAAATGCCTCAGGCATTTATGTAAATGTTTTTTTTTTTTTTTTGCAAATCACATTTTATTTATTTGTGAAATGTATACATTTTTGTAAAACCCTTTACATTTATTTGTGGATCTTAATAAATCTATTTATTTGTGAATTTGATACATTTCTGTCGATCTCTTTACATTTGCTTGTGAATCTCAATCTATTTATTTGGAATAATGCAACAATAAAAAAAGAATGTAGCGTTAGAAATAAAAATGTGTGTACCACCTCTAACGTAAACCGGTCAATTTTCCTATAACAAGCACAGTTGATTTTCAATGAATCAACAGAGACTTATAAAATAACATTTTCTGGTTTCAAATTTTTATACTGTCCGTTTACAAGGGCCATATTTTTTCTTAGATTAGCATACACCATTTCAATTCACATTTCTCTGTGGCATTAATGCACGTTCCTGTCCCATAAATATTTCAACACTAAAGTATTCTACAATCCTCTGAGGTACATTTCATTGTGAAATATTACATTTGTTGAATATCTAAAAGTGAGCATTAACACTAGATGGGATTGTTTGCATGTTCGTATTCTCATGAATACGTCCTTTCACATTTTGACCTTGTAGACATTCTCCACAATAGGCAGCAATAAGCACAGGAGAAGGTTGATAAGACTGGTGAAATAAGTTTAAGAGGTTGGTTTTGTTGCTCAGAGGCACTGTTAAAGTGAGAGAATTCTTAATGAAAACAGGTTTAATAGGGCAGAGGGAAACTCTTCGATTGCATTCCTGCTTAATTTAATGAGCCTTAAGCCAAGCGATTTAGTTCTTTTAATTGCCCTTCTCTCATTGTTAAAAAGATGTATGTGGCTGTCTTCTGCAGCCTAAATTCCTCTGAATAACAGTTTAGTTTTGGTTTCTTCCAACATGGAAGGACTGAACGGTTCTTTCTGTTCCTCTTGAATTCCACTAAAACAGCACAGCACGGTGAAAATTCAATTTGAAAATAACTTTGGATGTTTAGATTACACAGCTATTTCCATGAAATTCATATTCAGACAGAAAGAATATAAAGAAAGTATCAGCTCTGACTGTTTTTTTTTGTTTTGTTGTTGTAATGAAGCAGGTGCTGGTGGGCGGCAACATTGCTGATTGGCTTATTCTACAAACCAATCACTTTTTAACTCTAGGTGGCTAATAGAATTCTTCTTCTTCGTAAAACTCATCAATTTCAAATTTTCAGCTAAAATCGGACTTAAATAACAGCCTTGCTCCACAAAATAGAGAGCTGCCTAGCTGTCTCCAGTAAAAGAAAAAAAAAACATCCTTTAAGAAAGATACACTATACAAATTCACATACCAACATTCACAAAAAAACATAAGATTAGATCAGAGGTATAAATGCATTTCTGTCATGACAACTCTCTGAGAGATTGGCATGGTAATGGTAATAGGTAATGGTAATAGTAATGGTAATGCATTTGTTCTTGGCGGAATAGATCTGCTACGCTGCTGCTGCTGCAGAGCAAGTTTTGAGATTTGCTAATGCCAATTCATTCATTGCTGTGAGCATGTAAGACATGATGCTCTAGCTGCACATGTAACATGCATGAATTAACCCCTGTAGCAGATGTATACAGGTGGAGTTGGGGAAGGTGAAGGGTTTCTGGATGTGCACTGCAGATTGCAAAAAGCAACACTACCAGTATTTGAATGTTGAGCCGTAGCTCATTGGCCGCTGATGTATTAGCAACCAATCAGCTGCGCTATGCGCATGCCCGGTGTACCTGAAAGGTCATGTGACATGCGTTTTCAGTCATGTAGTGTGGACAGAGATCATTTCTGAAACGCAATGGAAACACCAGTAAGTACGAGGATCTTTTTCAAGGCTCACTAGGTTTTGGAATGGCCACATACATTATTAAAAGTGCTGTACATGTATTTTTTTTGACTGTCCTAAAGCATAATAAATATTTAGGAAAAAATGTGAAGTTCACATTCTAGTTTCTCAGAAAAACAATGCTACAGCCAATTATACAGCAATTTGAAATGTGCGTTCGATGACAGTGTGTTTTTGTTTTGGTCTGTGTGATCCCGCCAACTGCCAATTTACCCAATAGTATTTCAACACCACGGGATGCCAGCTGATAAAAAACACAGCATATTGCAACCATGGAAGCCAGCAAATGAACTGGATCAGAGATCGCAGATTATACCCGAATAAAAAGCCTCGACATCCATCTAAAAAGCTCTATGACAAGAGGCATATTAAAACGCAGATGAATCAACTCAAACACACAGAGTAAGTCTAATCTCCGTCCATTGTCAATTGCGCTCGCTCCTTTTGCGTGTCCAAAAATTGGCAAACCATGTGAGCATATGGGGTGTAATAATACTTGATAAAGACCGATAAATTGATTAAACGCCTAACGATGCAATGCATCGATGTCACACGTAAAATATCGACATATGAGGTACCGTTTTTATTGTCAATATAGCCCTGAATCGAATCGCAGAATTTTTGGAGGTATCGGCAAATATCGTATCGCTGGCTGAGAGAATCGATATCATATTGTACTGTGATGAACAGTCCGATTTACACCCCTTGTGAGCATCGAGTCTGAGGAGGTGTTGTGGGAAACAGCTCTTTCCAATATTATGAATTTGTACTGAAAACCATTTCAATTGCTAGCTGTCAATACTACATACCGCACCTTTTACTGTTGCTGAAACAATTTCAGCTTGTAAGCTGACCACACTAAAAAGCATTGACCAGGGTTAAGCTCAATCGAAAATATTTGAAGCATAAGTGTATTGAACTAACTTCAACCTTTTCTTAAGTCGAAATTATTTTCTGTGGTAATTTACCTTAAGCAACAAAGGTGGCTGATTGAGTTCAATTTAAATGGTAAATTCTATTACTCTGACCACAGGAAACATGCAAACATGCCTCTTTCACTCCCTGCTCCCTCTCCTCCTCTCTGTAAGATGACCTGTCTGTTTCATATGAGGCTTGCTGCGTTGCAGAGAGTTCTGACAGGCATGCATGTAAATGGGATACACAGATACACAAACCATCTGCATCCTGACAGAGCGCAAGCTTATGAATATTAGAGGACAGATGCTTTAAACAACTGTGCGTGCATCTGAATGCACATTGGACATCAAGCTACATGAGTCCATTTCCACCACTTCCAGATAATAATACCTATACTTATTCACCATCACAGCACTCATCATCTTCTCTATAATCATTATTATCATCATCAGTGACAACAAAATCAGAAATATAGTACAAATATACATGGTATCCTAAATCTTTTCTATTCTGGGAAAAAAAAAGACTTGATGGTAGAAAGATGCCACTGTGAACCTGGTATAGACATGTTGTAAAGCCTAGCTTACCTTTGCCATCTGTGCCTGCACGCCACTGGCCTTCAGGGACGCTACAGCTTTCTGTGCCGCCGCCGGACTGTCGAAATCCACAAAGCCATATCCTACATACACACATACAGAGTAAGAGTGAGATGAGAGATATTTATAAGACACATATTCTTGCCAAAAATTGAAGAATTCTTTATCAGACATTAATCAGACCTTATCGGACACATTTATCAGATTCAAAATGCATGGGTCAAAACAAGACCGCTCTGTTGTTTGTCTTATCATGCTGATCGTGGCGACACAAGAGAGTCTGCATGTTTGAGCACAGCCGCTTGTGTCTGTGTGTGTGCTTGGGGAGACAGGAAACGGCCATTTTGTTCAAGGCTCATGCTTGTCAACTATTTCCTCAGTAACAGGACAGAGAAAGATTTGGCCTGAGCTTACCCCTGCTGTAAAATCCAGCTTAAAGGAAGAGTTCAGCCAAAAATGAACATTCTATTATTAATCACATTTACTTAATTCCAAATTCATTTGATTTTCTATGTGGAAGGCAAAAGGTGCATTTTTTTTTTTACATATATTGTACAATGGCATTAAAATATAATAAAAGAAAATCCCAGTAACTGAGCAGATTGTGAAATACTCAGACCGGCCCGTCTGGCACCAACAACCATACCACACTCAAAATTGCTTAAATCGCCTTTCTTTCCCATTCTGACATTCAGTTTGGAGTTCAGGAGATTGTCTTGACCAGGATCACACCCATAAATGCATTGAAGCAACTGCCATGTGATTGGTTGATTAGATAATTGCATTAATGAGAAATTGAATAGGTGTTCCTAATAATCCTTTAGCTGAGTATATATATATATATATATATATATATATACAGTATTGCACACATGGTTCATGGCAAACCAGCTAACAGCCAGCTTAGACCAGCAAGAAAGCATTTACCAAGTTTTAAAACTCAGCTACTTTTCCAGTAGGGTCCATTTCGCCACCCAGCTCTTTAACCAAACATTTATTTGGCAGCAAGCGTGATAGAAGATCCATGACTTCCTTTACGACATATCATATTAAAAAAAAAACTGCAGTGCAGAAGGTTCTTAAAGGCCCGCGGGACATTTGAGGCACATTTGAGGCAGTGTGTCTTCATTCGGCAGAGGCATTCTCACCATAAGCCTCTCTAAACTCTAAACACACACACTCTCAAAGCCTGACTGACATTCGAAACCACAGATGGCAGAGCACAGAGCTTTGGAGAGCCCGCGAATGGTTCAAGCCAACAGCTCTATATGCCAAACATATGTGTTCATTTACGCACGCACACACACCTTACATATAGAACAACACGCCATGCGCTTTGAAGTCTCCCGGTAAACATGGATATGAGAAGGAGAGGGAGAAAGATCTCTACAGCAGAGAACAGAGCCATCCAGATGTTCCAAAGAATGTAGATGTTTCATAAGCCTAAGAAAATAGAGCGTGTGTGTGAAAAAGGATTTCCAGGAGACTGAACACTTCTGGTTTAAGAGATCGCTGCAAGCATTCCTGAGGTCACTGACCAAGAGAGCTAAACAGCAGCCATCAGGAAGTGGGCTGAGAAAGAGGTTTCAAGTTGAAGAATGCAGGGATCAATTTCTATTAACAACGTGACACCCAGGACCGGAAAAAGGCCTGAAAAGGAGCTTGATAAAGAGGTGAAAAAGATAAAAAGAGCCTGTTTGTCGGTATATATCACGCAGATGAGGGTTTGGCCTGGAAGTTTTCGAAGCTTTATGTAAATAAATCCATAAATACAAATGAGTGGCCCTATTGTCTTCCTCTTCGTATTTTGCCTTTGGATATCAAGACTGTGAGAAAAAAAAAAGCTGTGCACAATATCTTCTTCCTCTGCACATAATTCCAAATTAGAAAAGGAAAGCGAGGTAGTGAAAGAGAGAGCTTGTTAGCGTGCTGGTGTGTTGTATAACATGCAAATATTTACGCTAACTCAGTTTAATGAGAGGCTCGTGATTGAGTAAAAGAGAAAATCAAACACACCCTCGATGTTGCCCACAACCCCCACCACCGTCATTCGCTTCATCTGTCATTACGGACAAGGGGGAAAAAAAACAGCTGTCTAAAACTGAAAATATCTTTTTTTTTGCACTAACAAATTCATAATTACCAAGTCTAGTTGAGTAACTGAAAACACACAAAGTAAACATGCATTTAAACGTGTGTTTAACAAACGGCCAACAACCCATGTAAGAAGAGTGATTAAAACGTTGCGGAGCTTGGTAACTTACGAATGATCTCCAGAAGCAAACGGACCGAACAAACTTGATTGTAAACAACTCTCGATGGTTTACTCCATCATATGGGATTAATCTATGGCAGATAGGCCTGTAATTGCAATCATTTAACATATCTTTGAAACGAATACTGCATATCCTGTGCAAAAAAGAAAGAAAAAGAAAAAAGGACGGCGTAGAAGCAAGCAGAACAAACATAAGTAGATCCAGCAAAGCTGTGAATGAAGCGAATCCATCTTTTTGTTCGTTTCCTGTCTGATATCCTTGGCTCCCATACAGTAAGTCCTGGCTGGAAGCCCATCAGGGTGGAGGAGCCTGGCAGAGTAGGAGGGCAGTTAACTCCAGGAAGTGGAAGTCCTCTAAAGCCTGGAGTGGTTTCCTCTGCTTCCCAAACACCCCCTCCCTCCCCTTCCCATGTGGGCATTAATGCTCATTTTCGGACATATTAGATGTGCCTTCAGAGAGAAAGCATGGCAAAGAAGCGTATACGTACACACAAAACAGGAGAAAGCCAGTTTGGCAGATTGTGTAGGAAGACAGGCTGTTTATTTACAGCACCGGCTGAGTGTTTCCTGAAAAGAGTCTGTCTGCTAAATCATCAATTTCAGCCGGACGCTTCCTTCGCCCCATGGCTATTTTTAAACACTCACGACTAGGCCCGGACTTTTCAAATCAACACAGGAGGAGGAACCCTGTGCTTTTCCTTGCCATGGCTAACCCTGTTAGTCACGCTAACGTCTTATCCGGTTGTAAAGACTTCACCCACAATCACGCTAACACGTTTACGCCTCTAAGGTTCATCCAGACAATCTCCCGACTAATCTGACTCTTTCAAAAGCGGTCATTTTATAAGGATCATTGATTATTTTAAGTGAGACTGTGAATGCTCTGTGAGCATGTTTTTAATTCAAGTCGATATTGACTGCGGTACTCACCTTTGCACTGGTTGGTGTTTTTGTCCAGGATTGCCTTTGTTGACACTATTTTTCCATACCTGCAGAGGACAGAGAGAACAACAGGGTCAGCTCAAATGAAAGCACATCAAGTATATTTCAATGCATTACATGAAACGACTTTATGGTCCACTAACAGTGTTTTTAGATTTTCTACTGATTTTAGAACATTCAATAACATTTATTTATTAAGTAGATTTTGGGAACTTCCATCGGGGTCTGGAAGGGTTTTAAAGTGACCTTCATTTGACAAAAAAAAAAAAAAGTTAAAATGTGTTAGTTAATAAAAGTCAACCCCTGGGACTTACAAGTGCCTGAACTTGATGAAAACCCCAAGTGTAATCTATGCTCCGCACTTAATTAAAAAGTTTGAGCCTAACTCAAAGAGTACTGTATGTTTAATAAGGTTTAGCTTAGCTTCATTAAAAATCTTGACGAAAGGATCTACATCGATACATCAATACATTCCTTAACAGGACACCGTAAACAAGGAGAGCTTGATTTTGGGTGCAGGATGTGAGTTTCAAACCCCAGTGTTTTAATTAAACATTGGAAGCATCACAGAGCAACAATCTACACCACAAAAATCCCCACCCTCATTTTCACTTTTTCACCTCAGCTCACAGCACTGACTACTCGTGTATTCTTGTAATAATCTTTCTCTTTTTTTCTCTCTCTGCTCCACAAAACCCCTATTCACATAGCGAAATCAGTCTTGTCACGGAAACACGAAAGTGTCTGCACAACAGATGAATCCCTTTCCCCTCTGCAGTCCCTCTTTTCCCATATTCCTCCCCTACCACCTGCCTTCCATCCATGATGGAGGTAATAAAGTTACTTATCGCTTCCGTCTCCGCCTGAAGACTGGGAAGACTGATATAGCCATGGCGCTCCTGTCGTGACTTTTTTAATTAATATTTAATGTGGCTCCCTCCTCCAGGAAAAAAAGCGGGAGACTATATTACCCACCTTTATAAGGATGGAGGCGTTTAATAAGGGAAAGATCATTTTACTGTCACTGTGAGAAGCGGCGTCCCATCGAGGCATTGTGTCGCTGATGTCTGGAAAATGGCAGCTAATTCATCTCATAAGCCCACAAACTGCACAGCTTTACAGAAGAAATACAAATAATTAGCATAAGCCGCTGTAGAACTATGAGGTCGATAGCAGGAAAAACAATTGCCGTTCGAGGTTTCGTGTGAATTTATCAACAAAGTTTTCTGCAATTCACACCGTAACACAGCGAGTACGTGTGGGCGGAAAAACTGATAATCACAACTCTGGGATTGCAGAGACTCATTATAGAAACAATACTGGTTTTGTTTGAATTCTTTTTCGTCGATATGGTTTGTCAGTAAACAAAGTTGAAACTTGGGGGATGAGAACAACCACATAACAGAGAGTGGAAGACATGAAAATGCAGTGCTCTGCTGGAGAAAGCATGCAGCGGACAAATGTGAGGGAAACACATGAGAACCATTTGACTCGAACGCTTGATTTGCTGCCATTTCATCTTGCAAAACAAGTGGTTGGACAAACACAGGCGTCTCAGATGAGTGAGTGGGTCGGGGGTGGAGCTGAGAGAGGAATGTAGTCGTCAATATAGCTGGCAACGTTTCCGCAAGCCAGTGCCATGCCACGGTCATGCACACGGATGTCTCACTAACACGAAACTCACGAACAGGAAGGTTTCCTCACAAACATAGGCGTAGATTCATTCTACGACAGACAATAAGGGATGGAGGGAGTGAAATGCTTAGATGCTGATCAATGAAGCATTGAGAACAACCGAGGTAGGATTAATGTTCAATAGACGGAGTCTTTAGTTGAGATTTAGAAGTTACTGTACAAAATGAAAGTCTTTCTTCAAACTCAAAAACCTTAAAATGACCCCAATGCTGTACTTTCTGGTTAACGTAATGTTCTTTCAGTTCATTTGTCAGGATGACACAGCTAACATTGCAGCCAAAGCTGGAGGAGCTCACTGTGAGAACATCTGGCAAAGTGTCCTGATCACTCTCACACTAAACAATGAACATCAGGGTAGTTTAAAGATGACGAAGAGCATTGATGTTGGCATGTGACGTTACTCTACACAGGCTTAAAGCGCATTACCGAGAATTGACAATATATGTACTTGCTCAATAATGTAATTGTGGGTGTATTTTGTTATTTTTTTAAATAATGTTTACCACCCCAAATCTTCTATAGTTCTGTCATCAGTTACATACCCTCATGTTATTCTCATTTCAGATGCAACAAAATCTAATCTTCAAAACTAATTGAGAGGAAGTAAATTATGACAGAATATTATTTTTGGGTGGGAAACTGTTCCTTTAATGTGGTCTTATAGTCATTAGCTCCGAAAGGTGTACTAGCTTTAATAATTAGCATTGCATGCATTTCATTAAAGTATCCACATATGTAAAATTCATGCTAGCAAATCTCCAGTGTTATAAGTCACACTAATGAAGTGCTGAACCATTTTTTTAAATGGGTTGCATTTCAAGATTATTGCCGATCAACTGAAAAACTTTCTATGGATGCTGACTTTTGATGAAGAACAAGATTCAAGTGTGTTTACTAGCTGAAAGCATTCAGACCCACAAGCATGGAGTTCCCCTCATAGATGCCTGAAGTGCCAAGAATTTGACCTTACATAGCATCAAGCCAAAGAGCTAAATGGTTTACAGTGAGAGAAGCCGCATGTTACAATATTAGTAAACAATCTACTTTATGATATTAACATTAACTCAAGGACAAAAATAGCATATTGCATCATGTCCCGGCCATTCCAAACACAACAGAGCTGCAAATCACATAAATCTCATTCATATTAACTTTGACTTTTTGTTTTTAGTTTTTGTTCTAATGAGCCATGATTGACAACAGTATATATTGCATATCAAGACACTTTGTCGGTCGTTTGCAATTGGTTGGCCTGGCCACAATGAAATGTCACTGGTCCAAAGTCTTGCTCTATACAGGAGTGTATTAAAGAAATAACCAATATACTTTCTATCCCACATTTCTGGTCCTATACTTGCATAATCATAATAAAAATAGCGCTACCCTAAAACGTCTTTCCTTTTTGATGATATCAGAGATTGGATGTGATTTTGTTGATTTCAGTGAGAGCAGATAAACTACATAGTGCTCAAATGTTGTCAAGTCAGAAAAGCCCCTTTCACACAGTGCGGTGATTCCGGAAAATTGCTATAAAATTGCCAGAGTGCCTTCTGAGTGAACGCAAACATGTTCCAGGATTGACTCCGCCATCGATCCCGGGAGGGGGACCTAGTTATATTGTCGGGACTCGCCCTGTGTGAACATAAGCTGTAATAAATACTGCAAGGAATGTGTTGTAGTGATGACGCTGAAGCTGAGATCGTTCACCAGCTTAAGTGAAACAGAACGTTGCGCTAATTTAAGATCGAATCAGAAAAAAAAATGCATGAGCGTGGTTTCGCAGAAATCATATATGATCATAGATCATAAGCAAACTTAAGACCTCTTGACGGGATATGTATGGGTTGTGTTTGAATGCGAGCACAGATTCTGGAAAATCACTTGTGGTGTGAATGAACCAAAATCCAACGATCATGGGAAAGAAGGAGAGAAAGACTGCCCTACAAAGCAAAAAGGCAGTAACTGCAGTTTTGGTAAAGCATTAATTATTACAATTTTCATGACATTCAAGGCATCCTTTGTTATGTGACAAAACATCTTATGTTAAATGCGTGTCATTTTAGAGAAAAATGGTAGTCGTTTGTACAGTAACTGCAAAAAGCCCTAGTAAAAGTCATTTTTCTCAGCTCTGCACTCTGCGTAGTTACTGCCTTTTTGCTTTGTAGGGCAGAAGAGAGAAAGAAAGAAAAAGAAAGAAAGAAAGAAAGAAAGAAAGAAAGAAACAACGCCCTTACAATAACAGATTACTAGGGAGCTTTAATTAGACTGCTGATACCACACACACCAAAACCTCCAGTGAAAGATGGGATATGTGGGATCGCAATGTTCTAACTCTGGTGATCTGGACGAAGGAACCTTCTCTCCACATTGACCATGACCAGAGCAGATCAGGTCCAAAAGAGAGGCCCACAAATAACACACACAGGATGACACACATGCCACCACCCTTTCCAACTCAGCACACACTGAACCCTCTGAGTGCTTCAGTCAACCCACAAGCACACAAAATCAAATCAACATGAACACAAAAAACTGTAAACACCACATGAGGTTAACCAAAGCGCCTAGAACGACTTTCAATGAAGATAAATACATTTGTAGATCCACACACGCACTTTTGAAAGATCGCGACACGGCTCAACGTGCTGTGACAGCCCAAGCTGGGAGCAGATCCCAGCTGATTTGATCACCGTCAAGACAACACGTCTTGTGTACGAAGCTTTCAGCTGCAGTGTGTGAAGTGCTAATGACAGTTCTCAAAGGGCCGTCACACACTCTGATCTGTGTTTTTATTTTCCCCAGAGCACCGGCAGCCACGGATGCCGGACTGTTTGATGTCTCGTGCCGAGAGATGTGAACCAGCATTCTTTCAACTTCTATCCAGGTGGGTGTGTAGGATCTCTTAATTGGCTACCAATGCAGCTGTCTCGTCTGACACGCCGCTCGACACTTCAGCAGCGTAAGTTACAAGCATCTGATGTTTGTTTGTACACTCGCTTGCACCGTTGGAGTCAAGAAAGAAGCCCTGTGACTTTGCAAAAGGAGAATTCACTTTCCTGAAGTGCCATGGCATTGATTACACAAAGCTTGTTCAAACTTGTTAGAAAGTTCAACAATAAAAAATAAGCCGAGGCATGACTCAATATACATGCAACACATTCATAATGCAGCATTTCTGCTCACCAGTCTCTCAAAAAAACTTACATTTTTTAGTAAAAAAACAAATATATAATATAAATAATATAAAAAAAATAATGATAATTTTTGATAATTATTTTGAATGAATATTGTTGGTAATAAATGCAGTAGCAGAAACCGTTAAAAAAAGAATTGTCTAAATTGTCTAAGATAA